CCCCCCCTCAACAGCGGCCAAGTACGACCCCTTTCCATGTGTTTCACACCTGCTGTACCCTGACTCAAGGTGCGCGTAGTCTATAGGAGCGTAATTGACGCTGTGGAGAGGACAATAAAAGAGGCATTCGAAGTAAATTTCACTTCCTCTCGTCTTGAAACCTAGGCATTGTTCGACGTTGTCTTGCTCTTCTGTTTTTGTCAACGAGGTATTTAAGTAAAAACTATTCCTCAATCGTTACTACGCCCATTCCCTTAGAAAACACTGAGGTTCTATCCGAAGACAAAATCCTTGAGGGTATTGGCGCCCAAAACAGTTCTGAACTCACGTAGCTGTGCCTTCATGCTGGGAACAGTTTTTGGCGCATCTAGGGCAATACTATCAGCTTGCTGACGACTCGGCATCACAGCAAAAATGACCGCTGACAGAACGGTCAGACCGAAGAACATGCCATTGATTGCCTGAAGTTGTACTAAATTCCAACACGAGCATGCTGCACTAACATTTGAGGAGAGTCGTCTCTCCTAGCTCACTGACCTCTATCTGCGAATCCGAAAAGTCACGATATTTGAGAATGGCATTCTCCTGCTTCTCCGGGATTGAGTGAAATACATAGAATAGTACCAGTCCTCCAAAGAACATGCTGGAATGCACAAATGAATCTAAAAATCCTTTCAAAAAAGTTGTGCTCAAACTATTTTGCCTTTCAAGACAGATCTCAGTTTCCGAAAACTACTTTCTGTAGGGAAGAAATAGAAGGAGAGAATTCCAGCATGAATCGGAACTTTTCGAAAAAAAGCATGAGTTTTTTGACACCACTTCAAGCAAACTTAACTTCTAGCACCCTTAGAGTACTTTCTATTGGTACTGTTGCACGTGTGTAAACGCTCCTCTTATTGCTGAAAGCCGCACGATGTTCCTGCTTCCTCTTCGTGTCACAAGGGCACATGCTAAAAGACTACCTCCCACCCAGGAGCATGTTCCACCTACTGTGGAAGGCTTGGATGCGCTCAGCTTGTCCTGGGTGTTGATTGATTGATTTTGGCGACCCTTCTGATGTTTTCCTTCCTCGCCAAATTTCTCCAGCGTTGGTGTCTCAGAATTAGTTCATGTGTGCCCAGTACATTTGGGACCATCTCCTAGTTATACCAAACTTGACTCAGCGTTTCCGAGCTGTTCTTTAAGTAATATCAAATTCCTTGATGTCCTTTCCCATTCCATCTGCCCCCGTATTGCTTACTTTTTCAACGCCGCTAACCGGCGTTTGTGGCCGACGCCTTTATCGACACACTTGAGCGGCGTAGTATGGACGCCGTAAGATTTCATCATATGCAAGATAAAAATATTTTGGGGTTAGGTGGTCAAACGTTCGTGGGGACTTTTTGAATCTCGTTATCGCTTTCCGCAGCCATTTCGAGATCAGTTGTGGTCTATGGGAAGTGTGTGAGGTAAGCATTCCACAGCTTCTTCACCGTCCCTCGCAGTCGCTGTTCTCATATGAAAAACGGTAATTGAAATTCATCATTTTCGACACACTTCGCTATATGAATCGCTACCAAGCCACAACGTGGTTGGAGCCGGCCTAAGCGGCAGTTCCCTTTATTTAATTGAATGTTACTTCACAGTAACGCGCTTGGAATGGCTCAATTAGTGACTTCTATCCGGGTGAAAAACTTCGTCCAAGGAGGCCACCTGCCTTGGATTTGGACCTACTGTGTTCCTTGATTAAAACGCAATTCGTACAATCAACTTGCCTACTAGTCCGTTCACTTGAGTGGTCCCAAAAGCACATGAAGAAGGCTCGCTCCCTTAGGCCGCGTTCATAGCTTGCGTTCGTGACGAAATGCAGAAATGCGGAAAATGGCAGAAGTGCGCGGAAAAGGCAGAAGTGCGGAATCTGCAGAAAAGCAATACGTATCGACTTGAAGAAATGCAGAAATGCCGAAACTGCAGAGTGCGGAAAGTGCAGAAATGACGAAAAGCATTACATACGTATCGATTTGAAGAAATGCAGAAATGCCGAAAGTGAAGAAATGCGGAATCTGCAGAAATGCCGAAAGTGAAGAAGTGCGGAATCTGCAGAAATGCCGAATGTGCAGAAAAGCAACCGATACGTATCGATTTTCCGCACTTTCGGCATTTCTGCAGATTCCGCACTTCTTCACTTTCGGCATTTCTGCATTTCTTCAAATCGATACGTATCTAATTGCTTTTCGTCATTTCTGCACTTTCCGCACGTCTGCAGTTTCGGCATTTCTGCATTTCTTCACGAACGCAAGCTATGAACGCGGCCTTAGAAAAGTTCTGAAGTTCGGTCAAAATTTTTCTCATCAGTTGACCAGTACTCCAAGGGGAGCACATGTGGGTACTGTCTGCAACTTCTTTCCCGCTTCCGCTGTACGGGCTGGTGAACGCCACTCGCAACTGGATATGAGTGGGGCATTAGAGAAATCACCCTGGGAGTCGCCAGCGGCGAGATCCCCCAAAAGTGGCAGAACCAGATCCGCGCATCCTATCAATCCAGTAGGGCGGTGAGGCTGTGTATGTGGTGGGGTACCTTTCTCCGCTCTCGAAACGGAATTCCCTCCTTCCAACGCTGTGGTAACCAGGGAGCCCTATTGTAATCACTGCAAAGTGGGGTGGAAAATCTCTACCATTTGGTCCCAAAACCGAGCAATGTTTGCCTACTCCACCACACCTCAGGGTCAAACATTTGGAAAACGACACTGCTCGAGATCCCGAAGCTTTAGCTGGGGAATTCACCCGCTACAGTCTCGTGGTAGCCCTGACTTAGCTCTTTCAGATGACATCTAAACTAATCCCACAGCGGCCATCTTCTTGGTAAAAAAATACGATTTTTGATAGTACCTCAAAAATGACCCAGCTGCCTTTCTGGCCACAGAACTAAGAGGCTTCTGGAAGCAGGGCAACCACACATTGCGTAGTGATTGGCAACAAGTTGCCAATGAAGGTGACATACATATAGCTGATCAAAATTGCTTCCCACTGGAATAAACTTAATTCGAAAAAAAGTTGAAAGTGTCCCAGAACTTTTGGGACAACCTATACACGACGTTGTATTATGCATTACTTTTATATGTAGACATATGCTAAACGGAATTCATACTGTTAGATAAAATGATGAACGCCGGAAAAATTCCGAAATATCAGAGAAGCCTGACAAAATGAGAGAGTTTTAAATAAGATGCAACATGCTCAGAAACGTCAGTCACACCACTTTACGAATTTCCAATCGTACCATAGCCAGAGTTTCGGTTTTATTGTTAGCTGAGAGAAACAAAGGATATAGTAGCTGGAGTATTTCTCAAAGTGCAATAACTTGCTCTATTCAATATCATAATTCACACTGAACATATAAAATCTAAGAAGAGTTCAGTAATATATCACACTCTGGAACATCGAATTCTGCCAAATATTTCAAAAGAACACTATGTGCTGAGCACGCGGCTGTACAGAGGTAAACGAGCGTGTTGCACATGGTCCAGCACGCGGTACGCAATGGGTTAATTATCTCACCTACTGTGGCCAACGGCTGTTTCGATAGCTGAGTTTGATTCGACTGTCTTCCTAGACGAATGCTCCGCTAGGTATGCTCCTTCTCCATTATTATACACTAAAAAAGATTGGATGAACGCCTGAACCCTATTTTTGTAAACTCACTTTTTATAGTAACTGCTGCTTAACATCGCAGTTCGCGCTCCGAAATTTATCATAGTCAGTTATTGTACCCATGATCCGGAAATCGAGTTTAAGATTAAACACCCCAAGCCAAACAAGCACGTTATCCCATCTGGAGAAATTGACATACATCTTTTGGTTTACTGTCGACGCGTTTTTTTGCAGTTACTGCAAGGGTGCAACTTCCCCCTGAAACGGGCTACTGTTTCGAGCTGATGGTCTTGCACGCCCAGTTTATCACTCCATTGTTATCAAACTAGCTTGAGAAGGTGGAGTCGCTTTCTGACATTTCTCAATTGCACATTTCTTGAGGCTGCGTTCATACTTGCGGCAGCGTCCTACCAGCGACCACTAGCGTTCAGCGTCCGGCAGCGACAGCAACGAGGGAAGTGTAGACATCGATCTAGCGTCTACCACCGTCCACCACCATCTACCAGCGACCATCAGTGTCCACCAGCGACCAGCAGAAGACATTTGGTACCCTCCCATCGCCCCATACTCTCTGCCAGCAGTCTGCTATTCTCCTATCGTCCCATACCCTCTACCACCAGTCTGCTACCCTCCTATCTCCCCATACTCTACCAGCTGTCTCCTACCCTCCTATCGCCCCATTCTCTCCACTTTCGAACGCTGCTGCTGGTTGCTGGTGGACGCTGGTAGGCGCTGGTGGTCGCTAGATCGACACCTATACTTCCCTAGCCCTCGAGACGCTGCTGGTCGCTGTGGACGCTAGTAGACGCTGGTGGACGCTGGCAGACGCTGGTGGACGCTGCCGCAAAGTATGAACGCAGCCTAACCAAGCTGTAGGGTATACCAAAAGTAAGCTGACATTTCGATCTTGTCATGCCCCTCAAAGGTAACCCTACTAGTTTTGAAGCGGAGCAACTCACGTGAATATGACAAGCCCATTAGTACTTGGGTAAAATAGAAGTAATAACGATTGATGTGAAAGAATCCGAGGTAGTAAAAGGAGAACAGCACAGCACATGTGAAAAGTGTCCACTTAGATGCCATATAATGCTGTATCATTGGGGCCGCTAAACATGCAAATCCAAAAACTGATTGATGGACCGCTTGCCTGAAATTAAAAAAAAATGAGAGAAACAACCTTAAAGTGACGATGGGGCGTATATGGAAGCGCTGCCAAGGCAGCCTTTTCCACCAATGATGTCATCAAGTTTCAAGAGCTGTTGTTGTATTGTAAACTGCTGTTTAACGACGCAGTAAACGGGCGATCTAAAAACCACTCCACAAAGAATGCTGGTTATGAGCAAAAGTTGGACCACGGACGGTCCCATCTTCTGCTTACCCTTGCAGTTTGCATCCCATAGTACGCCTGACTGAGTCACTTTTTGAAAACTCAAGACTCAATGGCTAATTTGTGCCATAGCCTTCAGTTGAACCGTGTGGTGCTGTAAGCTATGGCATAAATAGCCATTGAGCTGAGTGGTCAAAAGTGGCCTCGGTAGCGTAATAGGGAACGCAACTGCCCGGTAAGCAGAAGATGCGGGTTCGAATCCCGTCCGTGGTCCGACTTTTGCCCATAACTCAGCATTCTGTATAACTCGAGGTGAGGAGTGTATGACGATGATGTCGTCGCGGGGAAAAACAGGAAGGGACTTACAGTCTACTCTCGGCTCAGGAATCACCTGAGCGGGAAAGAGCGGTATAGAGGTGAACAAGTCTCCTCCTTGGCAGCATAGATTGAGGAGCATAACGGGAATGACTTTGATGTTAGCTGCACTATACTCGGGTACGAGACAGAGATTTCTTCCAGGAAAGCCCTGGAATCGTTTTGGATCTTTGCGAGAAAACCAAGGATGAACGGCCGAAACGAATGTCCGTCAATTACTAATGAGTTCTTGCCGTTTGTATCAAAATGCGAGCTACAGTAAGGGCGACGTGCACAAATGGCAATTTTTGACTTAATTTGACAGATAGACGTCTAGTGGCGACCTTCATCTCGCTTTACACGTACTGACACATAGCGTAGCTAAGGCTCCGCCAAGTGGAAGCTCGGGTGAATTAGTGCGCAGTATTACTGGGTTCTTTTCGAGGCAGTGTCGGGAACCCACGACGTCGGAAACGTCTAGACGTGGGGAAGGGCGCGCTTGAGTCGCGTAGGTGACAAATTAAAAAGACTTGCGAGCCATTGTCAGACCTGCTGAGAAGACCAAACCGGTTGAGACCAATAAAAAGGCTCTATCTAATAACCTCAGTTGGTCAGAAATAACTAAATATTCGCTATCCACATCGTTAGGAGAATTGCAGTGAAGGAAGGAATCGTATTTGCTCGTCGTCGAGAGAGTGAGGGGATGCTTCAATCGGAAACCGCTTTCCTCCCAAGTTGCTGGCTCTTCAGAACTACTGTACACTCCCCCACCCCGCTCGACGGCGAATGTTGGGGAAAAACTGTGGAATTTTCGGGAAATTTTGAAAAATGTGCGTGGAAAGCTTGGAAAAGTTGGCAAGATAGTAGGTAGGATAGGAAGAGGAAGTCTTCCGAAGGTTTATTCTTCGAAGGTTCTTCCCACGGCAGGACGTTTCCTAACAGGAGACAGTGAACTTGCTGGCACTTTGCCGAGAAATAGTTAACCATACTTGAACATGGAGAAAAGACGACGACGGAGAAGAGACGACGAGATGATGATTAAGTGTCAACAGAAATGGGACATGTGAGACAGTTGAGAAACATATTTCTGGGGATAAGCAATTTTTTGCTCAGAAAAAGAATTAATGAATGGAGACGGACGTGAGTTTACCACGAGCTAAATTTTCAGAGCGCAGGTGTGACATCACTGATCCCTGATCGCGTCACCGCTCGTTACGCGTTGTGTGCGCGCCGCCGGTGAGTTTTTCTCTCTTCCCAATCCTCGTGCCATGAATAAAACTCACCCATAATATCCGGCGTATTTGGAGATTCGACGAGGTTCTCGTACGTGTACGGAATGAATGATGGATTCCGCAATGAAACGTTGAGTGAAATATCCCAAGTACAGAAACAGTGTACCGATACCCAGCAGAGAGATGCATAGCAATTCATGCTGGCGAGCTAACATCCTCATCGTTGACACAGTGAATCTGGAATGAAACACAGTGTTTGCACTGTCTCTACTGGTAATGGACTTACTTACTGGAAAGGATACTCAAGCAAAAATCGAGTGATCATGTGTAAGCCTTGAAATTTCTTCTGAAGATGAATATATCACAGCAGAATAGAGCAAAAAACTCGTCGAGTCTCAAAGAGAGAAGGAAGTAAATCAACTCCCAGCAAGACCGTCTTTTCCCACGGAATCCCTTACCTAAAGCACGAAATGGGAACCAGAGTGACCGGACAAGGGCTCAGGGAGAAAACAAGCGTTGATCTTCCTTTTCTGATATCATACCGTTCCCTTATCACGTCACCCTAACCATTAGATTCCCTATAAATACAAAGCTTTGCAAAATACGACCTTTGCCCCCCCCCCCACCTTAAACATCCTATTTTCATCTTCTGGTACGACACCCTTCACTACCCACTATCTTCATCGGTTCTCGCAACTTTCCAGCGTTTTTTTTTCCAAAACTCCCAAATATCGTCTGAATTTTGTCCCAAACAAACCGCCGTCGGGGCCGTGGGGATAGCATATCTAGCAAATGTGAAACGGGAAAAGACGCGAAAAGTCAACAACGGGAAAAAATTTCAGGCCAAATACGACCCCGATCTCAAAGCGACGCGCAAATTCCCCTTTCACTCGAGAGATTCTTCCAGCGCTGTAGGTTGCGCTCGTGGAGGTGGAAAAAATCAACTGCCAAAAGAATATTTCTCGGATAGAATACAACCTCTCCTCTAAGCGACCCAATAGAACTCTTGCTAGGCATTTACCAGCGTATTTACCAACGCTCGAGAGGCACATTCCAGGGTAGAGGGTTGGATGAATTTGTAGAGCGTCCTAAAAATTGGAAGGATCCAAACCAAACAAAAAGGAGCGTTTTTTTCGTGAGTACATAGGAGAGGATTACGTAAAGAATAACTCATCAAAAAATGAACTAAACGTTGTTGGCACATTCACGACGTCGCCCACGGCGCAAAGTCGATGTTCCTGGACTTTCATCCACACTCTCGAGCTTCGATCTTATCATCTGAACGGTTTGGCTTACGCGTCCAGAGTGTTTGGCGTCCCAACTGATCCAGTTCGTCCAAGTCCAAGCAGTTCGCTTGGAAGCAGGGCGTAAGAGTGTAGGTGAAAGTCCAGGAGCATTGCTAAAAGTCCAGAATTATGGTCTAAGACATGCTGCATGGTATACAGTACACAACTTCTTCCTACAATTTCTATTTTCCACATCTGCAGCACTACCGTAACATCCAGATTTTCTAGATATTGAACAGCTCCGTTACTGGATTTTTTGGCTGAACTTTATAGGTGATTTACAAAAAGACTAGAACCTTGGACAAAAAGAA